ACTCAAATTTGATGTAGGAGCTGAGCATCATTCACAACACTCCTATCACTAATAGTTCATGAGTTCTAGTAATACCATGTCAAGAGGCAGCAGCTCTACCAACTGTGCCACCATGCCACGCATGCTGCCATGCAGAGTATATAAAATTTAAGGCAAAAAAGTAGGTGAAAGGAGGAGGTCCAAAAACAAAAATTCAAGATATGATTAGACAACTAACACAAAGAATCTCATCTACTGACAGATATGATCAATAGAGGAGGTGCATACAATCAGCAAAAATACCTGAAAGGAAGCAATGCCACAGGAAAACCTTTATAAAATGTAGCAGGAAGTAACAAAAATTAGAGCAAAGAACATGAAAATAAATATATATTTCTAAGTCACAGGACAAGAATCACACTATGGCAATTACTGGTATATGAAAGCCAAGATAATCTCAAACATCAGAAGAAAAAACACATGAAACTGAAAACCCCAAAATAAAATAAGATAAGACAAAACCTCACAGACCCTAACACACAATCTGTGTGGTTTCCTCTAGAGACTGTTTTCCCTGTGTCAGAAATCAAATAATATGTGTTTGCTGTCTCTTGACATTAGCTGTGTGTTGTACACCCATTTGTTGAAATGTTTCCTGCTTAGAGCAAAGTGTTTCTGGAGTAGGCTATTCCCCTCTCAGAAATTTGCCAAGTTGATCTCAAGGTCCTGTCAAGGGAGGGAAGATCCATTTAAGGCCTTTGTACGTCTAAATGGGTTGCTGCTTATGTTTCCAAGCATATTGTTTAATCTAAAACCTATCAGAATGTAGGATGCACAAAACTCACAGAGAACAGATTTTCTGCCGAAGACTACTACGTATAAGACGGTGCAGCTCCGTGCCCTTTACAGCAGAGGAATGGGAAAAAAGAAAAAAGCTAAATAATACTGTATGTTCTCCCCGCAGGATTTGGCACAGTTTACAACAGCATCCTGCCCAAACAGAGACGTGCCAATTAGCTGGTTGTGAAGATGTCTCGCAGGCCAGTGAATGGAAAGGCCATGCCCTGGTGTGTCATTTACCCCCTGTAAGAAGTTCTGCGAGCACTGGTAGCCTTGTTTTGAGGAAAACGTTGCATTAAAGGGTTGTTGAGCATAGCACAAGTTACATCCCATGGTTTCTCTGTCTCCTTGGATTTGGAGGTTTTGCTTTGAGGTGTGCCCTCTTCTTCTGATGAAGGCGACAATGATGGGGGACACTGCTTTTCAGCATTTTCTGACTACTAAAAAAAAAAAAATCCCTGGATGTCATGACTTTATTTGAGCAGAAAAAAAAATGCTCATTATAGATTAGTATGGAAACATCTCCTAACAAGGAAGTGAGTGCATAAAACATTTCTATTCAGACTAAGAAGATTTGACATGTGTCGTAGAATGAGCTATCTGACTCATGTTTGAAGTCAGACATCTTTCTTCTGTTCAACGAGGCAGTTCCTGAAATATATCACCAGTTTTCTTTCTTGCTCAGCGACGAGGATAATTAGACTCTGCGTTCCTGTGATAGCAAAGGTTGCTTGACAGGTCTGAGCGTGTCACTGGAAAAAGACTAACACAAATAGTTCATTCGGTAAAGACCAGCAGGAATTTGTGGGGGGTTATAGTATTTATTCCACCAGACTATTGACAAACCAGTAAATTTCTCCACACTGTATAGGTTAGATTCACCATACTGTCTTTTGTTGAGCTGTATCTCAGACCCTAGAAGTGCAGCAAAGTTGAATCAATGTCACAGCAGGTGATTTAGGCTTCATCTGATATTTGTCCCTTCTGAAAAATGAATCTTAGTAGACAGAGCAAAGTCTACATATTGTACTATTTGTTCTACCAGTAGAAACTTACACTGTGTTCTCTGCTTTCGGCTTCAAGCTAAAAGCTCAATGGATGAGATATTGAAAAGGAAAGCCTGTTCGGTGATTTTTGGAGCTCAAACACTGTCAACATGAATAAATGAAGGTCATCAATTTTTGATGGATGACGTTGGGATGTAGTACAGAAGCTGTATGCTTTCTCACATCTAAAAATTATGACCACATCCTATCCTTTATCTTTCACCTATAAAAACATTATGTGAGCCTTCAGCAGATAAAGAGAGCACAATGTTTTTGGTCATTGTTGTCTTTGTATTTAATCACACAACATCTTGTGCTTCATCAGTTATAAAGTTAGTTGTTAAATCTTGACTTTTATAGATTAGAGTTGTGCAGCGCTGGTCTGTGGATAATACAGTATCTCAATGCCAACAATGCAGTCTAGTAAGAATATGTTAGCAGAAAAAACAGATACAACAGGATTCAACACATCCCTTAAAAACAGTGCAGTGAGATAAATAAGTGTTGATTCAATATAATGAAAATTGATGCAGTTCAATACAAGAAAGTAAAGGAATGAGGTTATATTTAGTGAAATAAATTCATTACTGCTTATTAAAAAATAGCCTCATAAAAATGTTATGTTTTAGAATTACAATACTTGACTTGAACTACTTGAAAAAACGTGACTCACACTTATCACAACTTGTCCAGCGCCAGTCGTCCATAAAACTCTGCCAGTCTCTCAGAAGTGAGCAACAAAATGCGTTTTCTATATGACGCACATTTAAAACACGAGGTATCTTTCCCAAAAGGTATTTTATATTCGCTACAAAGGAAAAGTATGACCTCGTACTAACATCCACAAACTGCTGTAAACAAACAACAGTCTAATACTTGAAACATTATATCATTTTAACAATCATGTCAGTAAAATATTTTAGCTGTGGCGAGAGTTTAAAACCTGAAGGACTAAAATAATTCATCTGAACAGTGGACTGCTTTTTGATCAGTCACTTTCAGTCCTCACTGTACTCAACCAAACCTTTTCTTTGAGGTTAAACTTTAAGAATATTAGTTGAACTGTGTGATCAGTTATAAACAAACTTTTTTGTAACTACATCACTTGTGACGCTCAACACACTTTCAGACCGTGTATTGCAGTTTATACAGGCACAACACTCTCCTCCTCACAAACGGGGGTTGCTACTAAGAAATAGCTCTACACAGCCGAAATGGTCCTTTAAGACAAGTCATCTAAGAATTACTTTATTCACACATAAATTAAAATACATATTTCAAACTTATTTGCTTCTGTTCTAACAGATAAGTGGTGCTTATATGCACAAATGAACCCTATACAACATGGCCCATATTCGGATCATTGTGTTTTATACCACTTTTGTTTAGAATGGTCATTTGTAAAATGTTTTGTATCATATTTAAATTTGCACAAAGCATTTATGTTTAAATTATATTTTATTCTGAACAATTTGTAGTAACAAACTATTTGCTTTTGGCTGTTATTATTGGACAGAAGTAGATTTCAGCCAAATGTGTGATCTTCATTGCTTGGCCAAATATGTTGTTTGCCTAATCTGCTTTTTTTTTTTGTGGGTGTACTCACACCCCAAATCATCACATCCCCTTAATGACTGGGGTTTGCAGTAATGAACAAGTTTTCAGCCAACTCACAAAATGTGGATCTATACAAGCTTCTTGTTTGTTGATGAAGACTGAGTGATGCCTCTAGTCAGTTCAGGTGCTGAGCTGTGAAAATGGTGCAGTCATTCAGGGTGGTTGTACCACAACATCAAGGGCTACCTCTTAGTCTTTAGATGCCAGTCATCTGGTCCATGAACATACACCTGCTTTGGTCATGCTGTAACATGCAATAACTTCTCAGTTGCTTTTCCTTTTCTGCTAATTTCACTCACCATCATCATCATCACCTCTCATCTCATTTGTTGCTCTTTGTGCTCAGAAACACAACAACTATTACTTTCTTTCTAACATACTACTGGATCGTGGTAAGGATTATATTAAATCAGCAGTCTGAGCTGTAAACCGCTGGACTTGGAAGCTTTTATCAGAAGAGGATCTCTGGCTTGTTCTGTTGTAGAGGCCCCAAAATAAATGATAACATTTACTTATATCAGATCTTTTGTAAAATAAGCCTAGTGAGAGGCAACACTTCTGATATTGTGTGATGTGCATCAGACACCACCCTGAGAGCTGTAGCTGATAAGAATCAGAAGTTCCCAGGAAGTTTCATAGGAAATGTATGTGGGTAATTTTTGATCCACTTGCAAAAAAAGCAAGGTAGTAATACAAAATAATAAGCAGATGCCTGTAGAAACAAACCTGCTTGAGGACTCTTTAGCAAATATAAAATATTGTGGGTATTATTTGAACAAATGCATAAACTGTTGAATAAAATTACAACTGTTCTACTGATCCAAAACTACCTCATGCACACAAATGAATCAATAAAAAAATGGCTAATGTTTAAATCTCCAATATATGTGTATAGTTCAGTCCTTGGAGAATTAAGTAAATTCATAAAGACCTCACTGTTGATAAAAGGTATATTGTTCCTGCATGTAAGAAAAATGTTAGAGTATACAGCACTGCCTTTGAGCTTTTGGCCTGCCTGAAGAAAAGAGTATTTTGACACATTCTTCATGCTCATTAGTTTAAATGCACTTCAGCTTGACAGTGAAGTGTCGGTATTAAAATAGTCTTGTAATATATTTTTACCCATGAACCCAGCACAGCAATGAATCTCATTTTTTGAACACTACACTCAACAGTAGTCCAGAGATCATAGAACCATGCATGGCTTCCTTAAATTAATTAGATGAGGGCTAGATTGAGACTCTCGGGCAAATCATTGTCATTAGTGAAGTGAATTATGGTGTCATGACAGGCATATAGCTTTCTAGACAGGGTGGAATAAATGTCAGAAACTAAGACAACTGAAAAAATGTTTGGGTTTTTTTGTCTTACAAAAATAACATGATAAAGAGCATTTCATTAAAAATCCTCTACCTGAAGCATGTCTGTGCTGATTTTCATTGAAGATAGCTTGTTGTATATTTTAGCAGCAAATGCAGTTTTAGACACAAGAAAAAGTAAGAAAATTGCATAACTGACCTTAAAAAGACGCAAAATGTTGGCCACCATGATTGACACGGAGCTGGAGGAGGCGCCGATCACCCCCACCACCCGCTCTGGCTTCGTGATGATAGGCGGTCCTCCACTGAGACACTTGACATCAGTTGAGTCTTTCTCAATCAGCGCCTGAACAAATGTCAGCGACTGCTCCAGAGCATGGGTGTCCCGGGAGCAGGTGTCCAAAATGCGGGCCCCCAGTGTGATATTGGGCAGCAGCTCATTGTCGTTATTTATACGATCCAGGGCAAATAGCATGGCCTCCAGCCTGTGGATCCCTTTCTCCTTCTTTAGCTCTCCGCAGGCTTTTCCATCGTTCCCCCTCGCATGCACAGGGAAAAGTCCACCCAGAGATATGTCCCCATCAATACGTATTGAGTTGAGGTGCGTGTGGCCTGGCATTTTGGGTTTGGCTGCCAGGGTGATCATGAAATAACTAGCCAGCAGCAACAGCCAGCAGAAAACATCTTTGTGACGGCCATTCCACAGTCTCTTAAAGCCTCCGCGCAGTGTCATGATGAAGGGCTAAATCCACATTCAAATACAAATTCAAGTCTTTTGAAAATGAAAGAGGTGTGCGCACATAAATCCACACACACACATGCAAACGTCCCGGAGGCTAGCTGCAATGCTTTTCAGATGTCTTCAGAAGTCTCTTCTCATGATTTCTAGCTCTGGCTCAAAGTCAGTAGCACTAATTACGCTTCCTCGCTGTGTTTATCTCATTCCGCTTCTTCTTCTTTGTGTTTTATCCCTCTCCTACACCTGAGAGTGGGGGATACATGCAGTAACTAAACAGAGCAGAGTGTGCCGAAGCAACGTCCACAGAGAATGCTTTCATAAGGCAAGAACAAAGTTGGGAAGCTTGCCTCTTGTTTGGCTTTTCCTTTGCAGAAGCACACAACACATCAGCTTTCCTCTTACAGTGTCAAGCAGGCAGAAAGTCACAACGAGGTCCACATCAGGCTCCTGCAAAGAGAGAGAAGAGATACACAATCAGGAAACAGCAGACACAGCACATTAAGGAACTAGCTGGAGGAGAGAGACGCAACCAAATCTTAAAGATGTGTTTATGTACAAAGAGGCAGAGAGACAAGCTGCTGTATCATGCTTTCTGTTTCAATCCCTATCACATTTAACTTCAGACACTGACGGCTCCTGTCTGGATCTTTAAATTCAAGCACAAATAAAAATCAGCATTCTGCGATTAAAAAAAAAAAAACCTGCACTGTGTTGCTCTCAGCGCTTCCTCGCCTTCAGTGCAGTGTAATGAATTATTTCTATGTTCCTTGAGCATTGAAGATTTGCTTTTGCTTGGCATAGTTTCATAAGCTTCATACAGTAGTGGTGCGCTGCTCTCTCCATCTGAATTGTCTGAGTCTTTTATCAATAGATCATGAAGTACACGGATAAATTAAAAGCACGACTTTCTCGAGATATGAACCACCTCATTGCATGTCTATGCACATTGGGCTCCTACAAAGAGATCTGGAGGACACAGCAGGAGGGTTTTGTATCTATCCATTTCTTTTTCAATTGACCATTACACTCACACACTCGGTCGTTCTCCTCTCTCTCACACAGATCTGCCTCACCTCACCTCACGCTGCTTTTGGATGCTACCATTCAGCCTCCTGCTGTGGCATGGCCGGCAACAGAGGACACAAGGGGCAGATACTCGTTCAGGTTGACAAAGTTGCACTACGTTGCACCAGCTGTCAAACCCATCACTTTGGAATTGTGATACTTTGCAGTTATTTTAATGAAGAAGAAAGCACAGTAGTTGTCAGTGAGGGCATTTTAATTGCTTATAATTTTTTTTGGTGTGGGCGATCTTGAGTACATTTGTTTGTAGAAGCAGAGAGCTGGAGAGAAGGTGTCTAGAGATTTGTTGCTAATCATAAATTATAGACAGTTTTGCCGTCTGCTCGTCATGTGTGCGTCTTTGCTTGCCTCAACTTTGGACATCAAATCAAATAATAAAGGCTCTTACTCAACAAAGTGGTCTGTCATGAGCTGCCTCTCTCATCCTGCTGGGAAGCAAAAGGATATATTTATATCACCCTGCACAAATCATCCCTCTAAAACACAGCATCCATAATGGATGAAAGCCCAGCAGTCACTGCAAAGCATCTCATTCTGTGGAAAAAGCTTCACAGAAAAGGAAGACAAGAAGGTATTTACAGTACATCATCTTCTATTTAAAAAAAATTAAAATAGACAAACTGGTTTAAAGGGGAGTCTGGATAATGATGATGGTTCAATGCCTGCTTTGCAAACACCATTATAGAAGCACCTTGTGCTTTACAGAAGAGACGGTGGACCATGTTTAATTATTCCTACACGGGTGAAAATCAGTAGCAGAGGACAAAAAGCTTGTTGGTCTATTATGGTTCTACAAGCTCCCTTTGCTTCATTCGAACAGAAATTTTGACAAGCGGGTATTGATGATTGTCTCATAATTGTATGTGATCATTTCTTATGACATCATATAATTAGGAAGAAAAGCTGTAGGCCCTTTTGATAGCTATTAGAAACCAGTAAAGTCATGAAGATCATTCCTGAACAAAACAAGAAGATAAATGTCATCAGTGCTGGCCAGAACTCCAAGAATTGATGGAGAAAGGTTGGGTTTGCTATGAGCTTTGACATCTGGAGATAAAGTCATCCCATCATCTCTAGCTCTTTTTTTAAGGGAGGGGGATGCAGTGCTACTTCACTGTCACTACTTGCAGAACGCTGCGTACACAGTGGCAGCTTCAGCAGATGTTCAGTCACAAGGCCCAGATGGGCAGAGCAGATAAACATCAGCTGTCAGTGTGTATGTGTGTGTGTCTGTGTGGGTAGGGGGGGTGGGTGTTGGAAGAGGGGTCATCCAAGACACTGTCTCCAGTCATAGTGAGGATGTGATCCAGTTTCCTATTCTCTCATCCCCTGCTGCTGCATGTCCACACAGAAAGCTGACAGAAACACAGTTTCTCTCCAGTAAAGGTCTCACTGAAATCACACATTACAATGGATTAATCAACATTTTGTGTCTAAACTGTGATGTTTTATTTTACCTTTTCCCAAGTGAGATCCTCACATTTGTTAATTTCTAAGCTGAATAAACCAACTCGCCAGTTTACAACCTTTTGCTTTCTGTATATTTTATCTTCTTTAAGGGCTGTCAAATTTTGTAGTGGATTGTTTGAACCACTGCCATCCCTACAACTTTATATTAGTTATAATATTAAAGTGGGCTGTGACTGTTGGCAACTATTTGGCAAACAACATTCATGAGGGAATCTCTAAAATGTCTCAAAATGTTTGAGGGGTGTCTCAGTTTACTGTACAATACTTGTTTGAGAGTTCTCAGAAAACATACAAGGCTGCTACCACAAAATGCCCTACTCTAAAATTCAATAACAAATCATTATTTAAAAAAACTGGTCCCTTTTAATTTCACAAGTACACTCATGTAAGTTAAATCATAAATGTGGGGGCAGCTGCCAAGATGGGCACCAACTGGGCTGAGGCAACTATGATGCAGGTGGAGGGTAGAAATGAAATAATGTGCAGAGACAAGAATAAAGATTTGCAAGTCGTGCACACAAAACTGGACAGTGAGTTTTAAAATCCGGCAGCTCAAAATGCAAACCACAGCTTTGTCACGTGGTTGCAAATACTCAGAATTCAACAAGACCGCAATAAAAGATTAACACGTTTTCTTTGAATTTTCAGCTGTTAGAGTGGCCAACCTGTCTCAAACTGTAGCAGCCCAATGAAGTACCTCTTTAAGGTAGGAATAGAGATAACACCAGGAAATGGGAGTTGGCCTTAGTTGCCCATATTTTGAATTAAGTTGTTTGAATTTGAATGATGGGCAGCACGGTGGAGCAGTTGGCAGAGCTGCCGCTTCTCAGTGAGCAGGTCGCCCCGGTCCAACTCCCAGATGGGGGCCTTTCTGGGTGGAGTTTGCATGTTCTCTCCGTGCATGCATGGGTTTTCTCCAAGTACTCCAGTTTCCTCCCACAGACCAAAAACATGCATGTTAGACTGATTGGTAACTCTAAATTGTCCCTAAATGTGAGTGAGAGAGTGAATGGTTGTTTGTCTCATTTGTCTCTATGTGATGGACTGGAGACCTGTCCAGGGTGTCCGCCACCTCTCACACAGTGATAGCTGGACATGGGCACCAGTAACCCCTGCGACCTGAAAAGGAAGAAGCGGGTAAAGATAATGGATGAATAGATGGATGGATGGATGGATGGATGGATGGATGGATGGATGGATGGATGGATGGGTGGATGGATGGATGGATGGATGGATGGATGGATGGATGGATGGATGG